CCCATCCCATTTTGTTACCTTCAAGATCTAAAGAGTTTGACCTAGTGATTAAGTGATTAAGTTCGTGTGATCAACATATAAATCATGCGCCCGCGCCTACTGGGGTGAGGGTTGAGGTATTAATCGCACATACCCAAATTAAAGGAGTCTATGCGAAAGGGTACTATCGGTCTTGTATAAATCATTTGACTTACATTGCTTTTAGGCTTGACTTGTGGTATCAACCTTTCACTTCCGGTGACGTTTCGTGTCGCCCCAACGTAATACCATGCAGCTGACCTCCTTATATGTGCATTTGCTTTTACCGTTGCTATGGCAGCAGCCTCTTCTACAGTCCGCCGGGAACCACCTGCATCTTTAATAACACTGGCAATACTGCGTGCATTGACGCTGCTAGTAGTGAGGGGATCACCATTTTTGTCAACTGAAAAGAAACACATAGATACGTTAATTTTATTTTAATCAAACCGTATCGATTTTTTTTAGCTGATAACCATACATGTTTCAGCCTAAATTGAACACCATTACCAGCACAATAGTGATAGTCGAGATACCCATCAACGACGCCATTATTTAAAAAATAGTGCATGATTGGCTACTAAGCCCTAATACATAATAGTCAGACCAATCAGAGAGTAGCTTGTTTTTACGACGTATAGAATTCTACGTTGTATATATGCCTTAATTCAGTGTGGGCAGAATTGACTTTAATGTACATTGTCTAGTAAGCAATTGGCTACAGGAAACGAATTCACAAGCCACCTTGATGCGACTAGAACACGCTAACCGCAAAACCACGTCACATGGCATGCATATAGTTAGGGTGATTGATGAAGAATATTCTGTTTACTACTAAATGATTTAGAGGACTCTGTGGATACATTATATGCACGGCTGTTGTAATAAATTACACAGGTTTCGTTGTCGCTGGGAGTTATATTAGTGTTTGAAAGTGGTTTCCTAAAGTGCGTGTGTGTGTTTAAATCGATATTTATTGGATTAATCAAACAACGTTATTATAGCTACGTTATTTTAAATAACAGAATCTGCAAATTATTCATGATAATGACACATAATATACACCACGGTTACTTTTTTAGTAACCGTGTATACACGTATATCATCGAATTACAGCCGGCAATGAAGCCCTACGAGAACTGAAACTGAAGTCCCACTTGCGTGGTCACCGTTTTGAGACTGGTGATGACGTCATCCAGGCTGTTGGGGCCTATCTAAAGGATAAAGATGAAA